GGGTAAGTCACGCTGCAAAAATGTATTTAAATAGCTGCTATTTTTTTCCCAAACACGTGTCTATTTAAGAAACTTTATCACAAGATTGCCAACGTATTAAGGAAAATGAGCATGCTTGCAGCTCTGTCAAATATAAGTGTTTGGGTTAGGTTTTTGTGGTTTGCTTTCTGGGCACTAGTGTTTTCAAGGTACAAGAACTTTGCTGATAAGGGGAGAGTTACTTCCTCTTAAGAAGTAGTTCAAAGAGGAAAAAAGTAACTCCTGGGATGATCTTTCGTGCTTTAAGATATCGCTCAGCAGTGTCTCATTCGCTTCTTCTACTTTATGCTCTTATAAAGAGGGGTCTATTTGCTTTGCTTTTATCTTTTTACATATACTTGTTAATGTTTTCTTAATGCTCTAAGGACCGCGTAAACTCCCTCTTGTGGCTAATTTTGCACTTTTTATGCTTAATTGAAAAAGTATCTGTCTTGTAATTACTTCAAACTTTATTCGCAGGGTTGGTTAATTATCCTGGTAGTGTAGGAAGCTGTGAAGCTTCGTGGATGGGCTGATCTTGCTGAGGAGATCTTTGCTTTTCAGAGCTATGAACTTTTGCTTTTTCTTTGACCATGTTCAAAAGTTGGACAAAAGGCAGAAGCTACAAATCCGTGGTAGAGAAGCACCTCCTCCCCGCTCCAGACATTCTTTATGTGAAATATTCATACGAACTTCCAAAACTGTCATTTTTTTAAATTATTATTAAAAATGAAAAGTATGAGTTAAAATAGTTCTGATTCAAAAATGAAGGGCTTTTTGTCTTCTGAAAACTGTTGCTTTTTAGCTGTGCTCCCTTTAAGGAAGAGATGTGCAACCTGTGGTCTGTCACTGCTGAAGAGGTGAGGCTTCCTAACCTTGCAGCTTGGGGAATATGGAGAGTACTCCTGCTAGAACAGAAAACTAATGCAGTTTTTGATTAAAAAAGTGCCATATTTATGAAATTGGAGGATGAAGCAAAATCATAGCAAAGGTGGTGTCTTCTTTCTCGTCACATGCTAGTGAATTAGTTTTTCTCGAGTAAAAGGCTGGCGGGGGTTTGGCAGGTTTGGAGTAAAGCAAAGCGGGCGCCAGCGTTTTGGCCTTTGTAGTGTAGCACTTTGGTGATAGTTTCCATGCGAACGCTGGAGTTCAGTTCCTGCCATCCTTATCTCCTCCTTATTTACCTTGCTGGGTACTTTCTAGCCTGGCTGTGCTGCTGGTGCTCCCTGCTCCGGGCTGCGCTGGCCACGGGATGGGTGGCACCAGGGCTGCCGTGGCACAAGCTGCTTTAAGGTAGATTTGTCATTTGGCGGCGCTACAGAATCTGTACGGCTGTCGCCAAACGGTGGCCAAT